TACACCTTAAAAATAGCAATGAAAAATTTAGCAATACAATTAAATTTATTCTCTTTTGCAATGTTCTTCCTCAACTCAACTACAGAATGGTCCATTGACATCCGACAGAATTCACCTAAAATTTTCAGGTCCGTATCCCTGTCAAAATAACAGATTATCACAGTAAATCTGGTTTTATCATCCCATAACAAACTAAGCTGCATTTTTTTCCAAGTGAATGCATCTTGCTATTTCTAGTAAAACTGTAAGAATACCATACAAAAAGCCATGCAGTTTCAGGGAGGCTCTTTATCTTTTTCAAGAAGAAGGAGGTAGCAGTCTAGAACAGCAAACCAGCAAGGTATTTAATTGAGAACAGAAACAATGAAACTGGCTTCCTATGGAGCTGTGCTATGGATGGAGCTCTGTTGTCATTATACTGCAAAACCTCTATTATCATTACATTGCAAGGGTTCCATATTACTAGAGTTTCGTACCTCCTTAACATTTCTTGTAGGCAGCTCCTCTAAGCACCAACCCTTCCTTCTTCTTGCAGTAGCCAACTGACTCCAGTTCCCCTGAGCCCACCAATCCACTCTTTTATAGCGCTCTTCTTCTATTGGCTACAGCTGTGGCCTGTTAAAATCAGGCCTGCTCCTAATCTTTAATAATTAACCCAGCTGCAACTCTTTAGGGGATAAGATTACTTTCTATACTACCTTTATTTACTTATATTCTATCCCCCTACAGAGCTCTATGAGACTTCTCTCCTGCCAAATAAGGATTCTGTTTATGCTGCATAACTCATTAAAAGGGTCTTCCTCTTACATTCAGACATGTACATTTAAAAAAATGTACAACAGTTTCTTGGATTTTTTTTACTTTTCCCCCTCTGTCTGCAATTGCCTAGAAGTTTCAACCTGCTGTACTGGGAGAGACAGAGGACTACATTCTTTGAATGTTGGTTGCTCTCTGTTGCTTACAATAGTAAATTCAATTTCACAAATACTCACCAACTACCATATATTTATTTATAACATTTGATATATGTATTTCTATTATTTATTTCTATTTTCAGGAAATACTTTCATGATTTTTTTCTGTTTGGGGGACACAACCACTGATGGAACGAACATTAGGGATTTCTACTGCATGACCCACACAAAAAAGCTCTATAGGTAAATCTCTGATAGGAGGAGGACCATAGTTTTCATCTAGAGGAAGCTCTGCATGTAGCTAATGGCTTATCTCTCTGGGAAGTTTAACATTAAAGATGGTCAGGCTGTAGATGCTCAATGCTTTCTCTCAGATACCTGCTGATGCCATGATTGCTCCACAGGTCAAAAGGAAGTCAACTCTGAAATACAATCACTAATATGATTAGATGGCCAGTGGTATACAGCCAGACCCACTATCTGCAAGCAGGAGAACTCTCTGCAGGGGAGAACAAGGACAAAATATGGAACTCTCTAATACGAAGTGTTATTTTTTTAAAAAGCATACCTCCCTATCCTGATGCAAGCAAAATGCTGTACAAACTTGAGGTACTGTGAATCAAGAAGACAAGTTCTATTGGAGAGAAAGAAAAGAGTTCCAACTTGACCATTCTGTCTTCCATTGGGGGAAAAACTCCAAAACCGAACACCAGATAAACCAAGGGCTGAAACTGTAATGAGGTACTGTGCCTACCCCAAGGCAGAGTGCTGAAATGTAAACTCCTGCCTATTGAGGCAGGTCAGAGATGGTAGATTACACTCTCATTCCTTCCAGCTTCTACTCTAGGGAATACCATAAATATCATAAATGGCCTCTTTTCTTAGTCACTGGTCTGGAAATTTGCAGTTAATTAATTTTACCCCATTCAACATAAAGGTCTAGGACTCTATCCAATTTTTTTTAGTCAACATCCAGCAATAAATGCAAGCTTCCCCAGGCTTAGGTAACAGTTCATAAAAATGATTGACAGCTCCTTCCAAGGTCTCCACAGATCACCCAGAATCACAGCCTGCCCCTGGAACTGCCGAGGGGGTCTTTTTGTAAATACTTCTTTCATGGCCTTGCCCAATCACACAATTAAATTCAGCATGAATTGAATTTTACTCACCCTCACCTAGCAAAAAAAGAGTATAGGTACCTGGTCAGGAAAATATTTTGAACTGGAAACTTTTTAGGAATAAATTACTACTAATTAAGTTACCCATACTGGAAGAGGAAAAACTGTGTTCTTCTCTCGTCATCCTGGAAGGAATAAAACCCATTTACCTATTTTCTTTTAGAGTTATTTACACTGATAGGGTATGTGCTCTTTCTACCTATTTTAGCTAAACATCTCCATCCAAGAATGCAAATATCCCAGGATCAGGAAAGCACACAGGCTGACTCCAAACACTACTGGTTCTAGCATACAGCTACAGAGAAGACAACTTTGCCTTGCAACTTGTACTTCTTGAACAACCTGCATCTTCTATGCAGTCAATGATTATAGAATAAATATATCAAAGGGAACAAACTTAAATAGTAAATATTTGACAAAATATGCATAAATATTCCAGTTAATATAGCAAACATAAAGTCCTCTTAACATCAAAACTCCACAAAAGCACAACTGGGATAACTACTTCTTGGCTTTCATGCTTTTAAATTACTTCAACCTAGACAGAGTTGAAGTTGAGAAACAGAAAGAGACAACATTTTATAGTAGAAATTACGATGGAAACCAAATTGAAATGCTAACTAATTTGAGCCCTGGTGCTGCAACTGCTTTGCTTACACATCTGTTTGCAAGAGAAAGGTCTTAACCACACAGTGAAATAACTCTGAGATTCCTGTTTTGGAAAATGGGATGAAAGAGTTCTTAGAATACCAGAAAACAAGGGTTCTGTCAAACAGTAGTGATAGCCTTAAAATTTTCCACATGTACTTCTGAAAAAGAAAGGGTTGATTTGTAAAACCTTGTAAAACTCAACATCGAACAAAACAACATTGTCTGGGTCTCTTTATGTGGCCTGCCTGGGAGACCAGCCAACAGACTGATTTAGTTTAATATTATACAGAAAACTGACCTGTAAAATCAATCATGGTAAGCTCTGTGCAGAAGTTCAGGTCAAGGGTGAAGTAGCCAGTTGTCAAGTGTTGTTCTTGTGTTAATAGTCCATTCAAATATGCAGTTCTTCTCGGTAGTTCTCTCTTTAGATTGAAGATGCCTGACAAACAAGAAGCTGTAAGTTATCATCATTTCACTGATCCTAAAAAGCCACCAGAACAAAGTACTGGAATGTAAACTATGAAAATGCAGTTTTCATTGAAGATGACAAGGGAAGCTCTCTTTGTTACTTTTCGACCCTCCGACCTCTCAAGAGTCATGCCAGAGTTGTCAGGTTTTTCTAATTAAGTATTTAAGCATGAAACATGTTCCACATACAGTCATTCCTTCTAAGAATATGAAAGAATACAAGGAAGAGTGGCCAAAAATATTTTGTGCAATTTATAGAAATACCCATCTACTATGAGGTGCACTCTACCTGCTGATGTGCACATTTCATCTGGCTGACAAGGATACTCATTATCTTTGAGAAAATGATGAATAATCTTTAACTCCTTGAGAAATTACTGCAAATGAAAGCCTGACAATGATGGGCTGAACCTGAAGTGATCCATTCTAGTGAGGTGAACAGAAATTGGAATGTATCCCTTCCATAGCCCAATATTTTTGGGTAACCACTTTGGTGCTTATGGCCAGGCAGGAATCTGTATTTCTTGGTTGTCCAGGCATCACCTCACCCAGACAGAAGCCTGTGCACCAGAGTCCTCCACACAAAAGTCCTTTTCCCTGCTCCCTTTAGGCTTCCCATCAGGAAAGCCAAAATAAATATGGAGGCCACATACATATGGCATTTTGGGATGCAGATGTCTATCAGCATCTTTGCTGAAACCTGCCAGACCTTCTGAATTTGCTTAGCTTTGTAAGAATCCCCTGGTTGTATACCAACCCCCCCAGTTACATTTGCTGTCTGCATTGAGGTATCAGTCAAAACTTCATCTTTTAATTTGCTGGTTTGCTACACCCTGGAGCACATTGCTTATTTGAAACAGGTAAAAAGCTCTAGGGAGAGTTTATTATTATAATATCTCTGCATTTGGGAGACCTATCTGGAGGGGTCTCCACTGGTACAGTTCTGGTGTGCCCACCATAAGAAGAACATAGAAGTAGTGGAGCAAGTTCAGAAGAGGCCACAAAGTTGGTAAAATGACTGGAGCACCTTCCCTACCAAGTCAGGCTGAAAAAGTTGTGTCTGTTCAGCTTGGAAAAGGTTGTGTGGAGACCTACAGCAACCTTTCAGTGTCTGAAGGGGCAAACAAGTGATGCCAGAGATGGACTCTGGCAGGAACGTAGTGATAGGACAAGGAGTAAAGGGTAAAAACTGAAAGTGGGAAAATTTAGGTTAGATATTAAAAAGAATTTTTTCACTGGTGGTGAGGCACTGGAACAGGTTGCCCAGGGTGGCTGTGGATGCCCCAACCCTGGCACTGTTGAAGGCTGGGCTGGATGAGGCCTTGAGCAACCTGGTCTAGCGGGACATCTCCCTGCCCATGCTGGGGAGAAATGGGATTGATCTTTAAAGTCTATTCCAAAACCTTAGCATTCTATTACTGTACTAAAATACTCAGATACATGACAGGTTAAGCTAATTGGATAAAAAAGACGCTGGCCCTCAACTAGGAAACTAATTGCGTTTTTCGTCCTCTTCCCTAACCTTAAGTTGCGAGCATCGTGCGGTAAACACCACAGCAGCAGCCTCTGCCTGGCCCCGCCTCCGAGCCGGCCTCAGGCCAGGCAGGGCCCGTCGTGCTCGAGGCCTCGGGAGGCACCACCCGCCCGGGGCGGAGCGGAGCGGGGCCGAGCGGGGCCGGGGGCGGAGCGGGGCCGAGGAGAGCAGAGCGGAGCGGAGCGGGACCGGGCCGGGCTAGGGGCGGAGCGGAGCGGAGCGCCGGGCGGGGGTGAGGGCGGAGTGGGGACCGAGTTATGTCCAAGCACGTGTTTCTCACGGGACCCCCAGGTAATGGGGGCGGGAGGAGCCTGGGGAGCCGGGCAGGGGCGGTGGTGCGGCCGGGGGGATGGCCTAGGATACGGCCTGGACTGGCCTGGCCTGGCTTTGACTGGCCCGGCCCGCCTCGCCTCGCCTCGCCCCGCCCGGCCCTCCGCGGCGCCGGCGGGGCTGTGAGGTGCTTAGAGCCGGGGGAAGGCAGCTGCTGCTGGGCCCCGGGCTCCGAGGATGCCCCGGGAGCGCCTCCAGCTACAGCTGGGCCCGGCGCCGCCCAAGGTTCCGCGGCTGCGGGCCCGGAGGCCCCCTCCCCGGTGTCGAAGTCAGAGCTGTTGCACTAATTAGTTTGTTCCTAATAAAGTGCCACTTTACCTCTCCAAACAGTCCTCCAAGGCATGCACTTTTCCAGGCGCTGCTGCTGCTTTGTCCCTGGCTTCTGCCTTGGAGTTCAGTGTTGGGGAAGAAAACACCACCTGGACAAATAATTCTGCTTCGGTATAAACTGCAGCGATTAATAATTTCGGAGAACTCATCTTTCCTGTAACTTAATTGTAGTGATTTAGCACTTCCAGCCTCAGTGAAGTGCAGGTGTAGGTAATAACTAGTGTCCCGGATGGGCAGGCCTTGATTGAAGCAGTGAAGTAGTTTGTCATGATAAGGGAATCAGATTATTGTGGAGGCTGAGCGGGACATTGTATGAGGGTCAAACTCTACGGTTGATAAAGAAATGAACCAGTTATTATTATTGCAGAATTTTCCTTTGTGCTGTGGGAGTAAAGCAATAGGCCTAATGCTCCTTTTTGTGAACATCTTGCAGATGCCTGTCTTGACTGGAATTAATTTTAAATGCTGCTGTTGGGCTGAGATAGGAATACATTCCACCCATTTCACATTGGCTTTTCAACCACTTGAATAAAGGCAGCCTTTCAGGAGATGCAGAGGTTAGGGCTGCTTAGGTCTTCTCCCTTCATTTACTTGAAATTGGATGTACTCTTTTGATTAGCTAAATGTCTAAATTCAAGCTTCCTTAAATTTAGTTTGAATCACTCTAGCTTGTTTGGCAGTTTACTGAATGAATGTAAAAAAAAGTAGAAATAGCAAATCCATTTAGCAAAATTAGTATAAATTCACTTACAAGAGACAAGGCCTTAAAAAGATGTTAGGGTGCCACATTTGTAATTTGTTTCTGTTTGCCAGGAAGCCCTCTTCGACAAATTTGAAAAGTTTGCTTAGGTATTTGAGTAAATTCCTTTGAAACCAAGAATATTTTGTCATTGGTGTTGACTGTTAGGAAAGCAGTTCCTAGATCTGCTTAAAGTCTAAATTAGAAATTTGGTGTGTGCATGTTGAAATGATTTCTGTTGTCATCTTTAGGCATCTCATGTTTGGTCCGTGTTCCTTATTTCCAGGATTTTGAAGGTTTATTCTGCAGGATTATTTTCTATCATCTGAATTTTTTAAAGCAGTGGTTAAAAATGAAGTGATAGCACTAAATTTTGTGAGAGGCAATAAAGATGAGTTTAAAAGGAGATCATTGAGGGATGTACTTGTATAACGGCGGAGGAGAAAAACTGAAAGGATGTCTGGAACATGGCCAGTGTTCACATTGTGAAAGGTGCATCAGACTGTGCAAGGAGATATCAGGTGGCAAGAGTTTTAAGGACCTGTCTTAGGGTAAGAAAATGAAATTATAGGTTCAGAAGATAATTCATGTCAAAAGGGACTTGAGGAAGTTTAAAGGAGTATCAGCTATCAGGCCCGACCAGGTTGCCTCAGGTTTTATCCAGTCATGTCTTGAAAACATTTAAGTATGTGAAGATTTCACAGCTTCTCTGGGCAACCTCATTCATGGCTTCATTGGCCTCACTATAAACAAGCTTTTCTCTCTATCCAGTCAAAATGTCTCTTGATTCAGTTACCAGAAGGAAAAATTTTCTGTTTGACTTTGAAAGGACTTGGTATCTCAGGGACATTGAGTGCTTCTGATTTCTAGGACATCAGTGGAAGAAGTGTGTTCTTTGTGCCAGTTAGGAATCTGGTAATAGCAGTCAGATTTGACCTTTTGATCTACAAAGGGGATGAACTTAGCTCTGATCTAAAAAGTAGTGAATATCAGTCGTAGAAAGAAGGATTCATCAGTCAGTCTTCCAGCAAGCTTGGATATCAGTTTTGTGCCACCTGCCTTGTGGTAAGTTTTGTGGCCTGCTCATGCATCATCTAAGCAAACAAATTCATTGGTAGCCTGGGATATTTGGACCATTCTGTTGTGAAGCTTTACAGCGTCAGTACAGCGTGAATGTTAAAAGATACTTCTGTTCTTTCCTACCATGTAGAAAAAGTAATTTGCAACCTTCAAAAGTAATCAATGTTCCTGCTGAACTGAATCATTACTGTGGCATTTAAAAAAATGGGCTTTTAGTGCAGAAGAAGATTAATGCTGTGTGCTTTTTTCTCTTCTTTATTTTTAGGGGTTGGAAAGACTACTTTGATCCAGAAAGTCACTCAAGCTCTAAAATCCTCAGGCGTTCCCATTGATGGATTTTACACACAGGAAGTTAGAGAAGGTGGCAGGAGAACAGGATTTGATGTTGTCACTCTGTCTGGAAACCGAGGACCTTTATCTAGAGTCAGGTATTGAAGTTTTAATAACTGTAAGCTGCTTATTGTTTTATGTGTCTGCTCCAGTCCTTTGGACTGGAGCACGTTAAATGCTCCTCCAGAAGGTGATTTCCAGCACACATGGCTTTCAGGGTCAAGTTCTTTGCTTGGTTTTTGTGTCCTGGCTGATACCTATATTGTATATATAGGCAGTGTCTGTTGCACAGTGAAATACTGAAAATGTGCTGGGCAGGGGTGTGTTCTCCCTTACTGGCTATTTTACACCAGATAGAGGAAACACTGCTGAGGCCAAGTCCCTTTGGCATGCAGTTAAGTAGCTTATTGTGGGCAGGGAAAAAGTTTTTTGTGTTTCCACTAGCTGATTTATGGAGACAGAAGTGGAAAATGAAAAGGGAAATTGCATATAGCATTGTTTAAAAGAACATTTGACTGGTCCACAAAAGTCGCCTGAATTTAAAAAAAAAAAAGGATTTCAGAGCCCCAGACAGGGGCCTCTGAAGTGCAGAGTACCTCACACTCTCTTCTGATTCATTAGACTTAGATTTTCATTCTTAGTGCAAAACTTGCTCTAGTGTCCAGTGTGACCTTAGCATCTCATTCACACAGAGTTGATGTGAAAATAATTTGCACTCTGCTAATAACGGAGGTGCACCTAGCACAGTGTGGTACAGCACATGCAAAGTGAGTATTTTTCCAAGATTAAGGGTTTTGCAGCCCATACTGAGATGATGCTGCTATGATGCTGTCTGTAGTGTCACATAACAAAATTTAAAGATCTGAACTGCAGACATGAGTTTTGATTTCAGTGTAAATGTACCTGCTGACTTTTAAGTGCCATTGTCCTTCTATACAGTGTTGAAATTTGAGCTTGCATGGTTGTGAAGGATGCATATGGTATATTTGTTTTCTGACAGCAAGCTATCTGCTATATGACTTACTGCATGGCTTAGAATTTCTTTCCTTTCCTTCTTAGGAAGAATTAGGGGATTTGATTTATTTGGATAACTTCCTATAAATTCTCTTGAAATGAGTTTTGTGAATTCTCACTAAACTCAGTAGTTTGAAGGAATTGTGTATCTCTTTTTCAGTCCCAGTTCTGATTCTTCTGCTTCAAGACGTGAATACCGGGTTGGACAATATGTTGTAGACCTTGTTTCATTTGAGCAGTTGGTTCTGCCTATGCTGAGAAATGTAAGTATTCTATGCAAGCTGCTGATTAATGTATGCTTTATGATAGTCAGTGTTACTGGAAGGCCCTTTTACACAGCTAGTTTTTGATACTAATTAATGGCCTGTTTGTGTGTATTGCTAGTTCTGACGTAAGTCAGGATCTGGAACCTGGAGGGGCAAATCTGGCTTGTTCCCTTGTCATTGTTGTGTAGTTGGAGAGATTGCAGTCCTGTGAGCAGGACCTCCTTGACCTGAAGAGGCAGCAGGGAGGAAATTTCTTCCTATGTCACTGTCTCATACTGGAAAGCAAACAAAATGCTCAAGTGGCTTACCACAGAGAACTGGATTGAATCAGTGGGTCTAAGAAAAAGGCTTTTGCTGCTGCTCTTCTTTACAGACTTTTTCCCCCCCCCCCTTCCTGATTCCTGTCTTCCCAGAGTAGAAGAATTTGTTTCTTGAATCCAGTGAGTATTTTTGATTACCATTGTATAAATACCTGTAGACTGACAATACCAGCCTGATTATTTGGGATTTAGCCTGCTGCACAAGGAGTGCTCTGGCTGTGAGAAGACTTTCCACACAATCTTTTTGCTATCCTTTTGCTAATATTGTGTCACTGCTTTTTTTCTTCTCCTTCCTCTCTCTCACTCCAACCTTTCCCCTCTCCAAAATTAAACAAGAACAGATTTGATTTCAGCAATAACATACCACAAACACTGTGCAGCAGCTGCTGAACTGTACTACTAAAAAAATCCTGTTGTGATTTTTCACCACTGCCAAAGCTCAAGGGGACAAGGAAGAAGGGATTTTTTGGTCAACTTGAAACAAAAAGCCCAAAGAGGTGCAAGGAGCAAAAATGAAATGGAGGATCTGATTCTTGTTTTTGTCAAAGAACATTGAAGTCTGAAAGTAGGAAAGCAAGGATGTTGGGGTAAGGGAGAAGGGAAGTAATAAAAAAATGGGACAGCTTTTATATGTTAAATTTCACTATAACCATATGATGTTAGTAAATAGAAATATATTTTATTTAAAAATACTTCATTAGGCCAGTGCTATACTTGGAATCCTTTTACCACTGAAATCCAGGAGAGATCTTCCTAGAAAGGTGTCAGCAGTGTTGAATTTTTTCCATTACTTACATAGCTTTCTGCAAGTACAAGAAAGTGAAGAACTGAGGCCAGCAGAGTCACACAGTGCATGTGCCCATAGAAAGTGCTGTTTATCAGTTTTGTGGGAATGTGGTCACACATGAAGATGGCCCAAAATGGAAGAGGAGAGTGAGGAAGATGAGAGAACTGAAGCAAGGAGAGAAAAATGAAGAATGAGGGTAGCAGCATCATAGGTATGTTCTGGTTTGATGAGGGAGTAGCACAGAAGGGACGCATGCCCATTTACGTTTGAGGACAAATTCAACTCTTAAGGCTTTTTTCACTCCAGTGAGAAGGGGCAAGATCCTGCAGTGGAACATCTCTCTGGTTCTGCAAACTTTATCAGGCAGGACAGATAGTTTTTTCAGTTTTTTTTTTCAAAGCAAAATACTCTCTTCCTCAATATGTGACCTAGTGACTAGTATTGGCTTTTTGGCTCACTGATCTATGAAAGGATTTTTAGATAAAACAGCTACTCAGTAGGGACTTAGCTTGAAAGGATTTTAGGATGCATGTTATACAGTTCTTTCACTTTCCCAGAAGCAAATATTTTGCCTTCACAAGGGGATATGTTTCGATCTTTTTTCTTTTTTTTTTTTTTTTTTGTTTCTGTACTATATGGCTTGTATTGGTACGTATTCATGGATCTATAATAGTTTTGAATTAAGTTGATTTTCTCCTCACTTCTACAAATAATGGAGTAGAGTTCTCAGTCACTTTTACCAAAATAGGGTAGGCAGTGCAGTTGGAGAGTTCCTCTGCTTTGTGAGCTGCCTTTTCCTCAGTAGCAATCACCCTTGTTTTCTCCTGGACTTCACTGTTGATCCAACCACCTGCAGCATGGCACTGCTTGGCACAGCATTCTTTCATGGGAAAAACAAAGAAGCCTCAAATGTGGTTAACTGTGTCTCTTTTTCTATCCAGTGGCTAGGACTACAGAATAAGGTGTATTTCAATATGTGTCTGCTCTAATGGGAGAGAGGTTTGGAAATGACTTATTTATTAGCCAGACAGCTTTGAAGACAGCCAGTAGCTCTGAGTGAAATGTTCCATCATCCCAACTACAAGAGGAGAAACTTCCAAATCTAGATTTAATGGAAGTCTTCTTTTTAGATACCTGTTTTGTGTGACTACTGATCACATAATTAAATGTAATCACTACATGCATAATTTAATGTGAAGAGTAAAGTTTTCAAAAATTGCTGACCCTCAGAATGATTGAGAGCTGCTGTAGGCAAAGTGCAGTTCTTAATTGTCAAGTAGCTCATATGGGACCATTGTGAGATTCTGCTTTAAAGAAAATCTGATGTTAAGGATATTTCCTATTGTAGTTCATATTTATACTGTGTGGTTGTTTCCATCCTTCCGAAAATCTGTCCTAAAAAAGAAATTACAGATTTATAAGTCTGTCATTTACCAGCAGTAGCTTTAACTTCCCACTTTTCCCTGTATTACAGTTGAATTTGTTTCTTTTGGAGGTATTTCTTTTGTCAGCATGGAGATTATGTCTGTTGCTTGTTCTAAGTTTTGCTGTTTACAGTCTCTTGGTGCACTTTTCCACAGGTAAACCATGGTGGTGACACAGAGAAAAAAATTTGTGTCATAGATGAGATTGGTAAAATGGAACTCTTCAGCCAGGCTTTTATTCAAGCTGTTCGTCAAACGCTGGCTGGCTCAGGGACTGTGGTGCTTGGAACTATTCCAATACCTAAGGGAAAGCCACTGGATCTTGTTGAAGAAATAAGAAGTAGGAAAGATGTGAAAGTGTTCAATGTGAGTAATATTTAATATCCTTAAAGAGCCTTCTGTTCTAGGTTACTGGTTTATATTTGGCTCTGTTTAAAAACTGTTACTGCCAATTGATAGCTGTGGGTAGCTTGCATGAAATAAGTTTTTTAGTTTCCATTTTATTCTTAATGGGCAGGTGTTCACCTTATTAAAAAAAAAGAAATCCCATTTGGCACTAACTGTGGCCATCTCACACAGCTGGCTTTGCTTGTGTGGGGCTGCAGAAGTAATGCTATAGTTGTTTTAAAAGGTTTCTTTGCTGTAGTATTATTACTGTATAGGTATTCATTATTCCTAAGAGTTAAATCTTCTAAAGTACAGTCAGATTTTTAAGTTTTTTTTGTTTTTTTCCAGACTAGCTTGCAGAAATATTACCAGTAGTCATATTCAAGGAAAAAATAAAAGGAAAAAAGCAGCAGTGGAGTTTGCAGGAATGATTTATAGAAGAAAGAGAGTTGTAAATGGAGTGTATTTTCTCTGGAGTCAGTGAACCAATTTTGGAATTCATTATGTTACTTTTACAGGCATAATTTTCAGAATATTAGGGCCTCAGAGTACATTTCTGATCAATTACAGGGCAGTTCTCAAAAACTTACAACAGCAAAACTTAGCCTGTTCCTAGGAGTGCATGTGTGAGGTTTCCTTAACATCAGTAAGTGTCCTTGATGCTTCACAAAAACAAAGGCATCTCTCACTCCTTTGATTTATGTTGCTTCCTATTCAAAGCTGGCTTAAAAACCTGCAGTGCTCAAAGTTCCCCGGCTTTACTTTAATTGAGGGTCCCATCATCATCTTCAGTTTCTGTTTTTATATTAAATGCTGGTTTAATTAAATGCTAAAGCAACAGTAGGAGACAAGATGAGAGATTATTCCTTTCCTTGCCTAAGCATTCAACCCCCTTCATTCCTTTCAGAGATAAACCCCCAGGTTTTTCCACTACTGAGCTGATGTGTGTTTGTAGTCTGGCTGTTGAACAGAAATGCATGTAAATGTGAATTTTGTATGAGTGGCTTTACAGGGGTAGGACTGGGGAAGAGGGGATGGAGAAGCCTTGCTGAAAGGACCAATCATTCAGTGGTTGGGTTGCAGTCATGGCAGGATATGGTGCATGCATTTGGTCCTCTTGTGAGAGAAAACAGGGCTGGAAGACAGCATTTGGCTTTTCAAGGAAGCTTTTGAGGCTTCTACTGTCTTGTTTTATCAGGTGATATTCAGAGGGCAGGGGCTACTCAGCCCTTGGTTTTCAGCTGTATCAGTCTGCTGATAAATCTTTCTCTCAAGTACTGAGAGAGTACTCTGGCCAGCAAATTTAGATGGAGCTGTAAATTTCAATGGAGCAGTGTTTTCTCTAGCTAAAAGATCTTTACTAAAACCATGACCCATCCTGTTCATGCTGCTGAGATTAGGACATGCATGTTTCTTTAATGAGATAGACATCTCTGGTGAATCCATTAACCAAAAGCATGAATGTGAAATGTGTGACAGACTGCAGTCATTCCCAGGTGTCACAGACCTGCTGAGCTGAAGTCTTGTGCAGGAGAACATCTGTCTCTCTTGCTCCAGTGATACACTACATGCTCTTTTCCCAGCTGGTTCCAATGTGTGCATGAGCAGGAGCAAAACCCACCCATGGGGAGTCAGAGGTGTCAGTAGCTGAAGTGGATACTGGGTCACCAGCTGTTTTCTTCAAGGGCTGTGGCATGGGGAAACCTGGAGTGCCCAAATCGCTCACAGTCAGTAATTTCTTACTAACTTGGGTGGTGCCTGCAAGTGTACAGAAGTAGGTGGCTAACTTCCAAAAACATTCTGCCTGCTTTGTCACTTAATATGGAGTTAAGCTGCATTCATATAGCTCATCTCAGTTTTTTCATCCTGCTCCTAGTGTCACCAGGACAGTTCTGAGGAGGGAACAGCTGTTTAGTGTTTTGCAGTCCCTTCTGTCTTGAAAGCATATTTTGTTGGTGTAAGTGGGCCCAGATGCCCTAAAAGCAATTCAGCATTTGGTCCCAAATGTTTAATTTATTATGTTTGGGGCACTTAACGATAGGAACTCTGATATTTAACACATTTGTTTCTATTGTTACCCAGTTCCATTTTGCTGAGAATTAAACTTTCCAGTGAAACTACACAGGCTCTTTTTGCACTGCCTGTGTCTGTGTAGTTCTGCAGACATGGTGGCATGAATAGGATCAGGTTATCGTTAGCAGCTGGCAGATAATAATTTTCTCCCATTTTCCCATCTATTAATTTTGCTTGCTTGAAACCCATTAGTGAAGTATGGTTGCATATGCCTATTAAGAAAGAAAATAGTTAAATGGATAGGGAGAAGAAAAGGTTCCATTTGAACAGATTGTACATGAGTGGTTTCCTTGATGGTATTTTTAACAGTTAGAGGAAGAAAGCTTTTGTCCTCTATAGTTGCCTGCTTGGAGTCTAGGTGGCAATTTCCTCCAAATTACATAAATGCTTAATATAAGCAGCATCTACAGTTATTTTCAACTACTTTCTAAAAACATACCCATCTGTTTGTACATTCAGTACAGATACTGGGAAGTTTGTTCTCTCTGGGAAAGCTGCCTGCACAGAATGTCTCCAGATCTTAAGAGGAGACTTATATCTATCAAACAGCCTTTGTAAAACAGTTGTGAAAATTTCCTAGCACTTGGCGCTTTCTCTCTGCTGCTCTCACTGGACTTCTGGCATATAGGTGTGGAAAAAGGATAGATAAAGTGTAGTATTGTTTCTGTTGGCTGTGAGGGAGTGGGAAGAGCTATTAAATTGTACAGAAGGTCCTTTGAAAGTCAGGATATCAGTACATTTGCTGTGAGATTTAGTTTGGCTCCTCAGTGCTGTGTATTGTTTACCTCGGGGTCCCAATAGCCTTACTGAAGAGCATTCTTTGTTGTCTTGCTCTCTTTGTTTTTGTGGGGTTTTCTGTTTATCTTATAAAGCTTGGGCTGATTCTCAGTAAAAACAGTGACATTTTCAGACAGATCTTCCTTTTCATTACTCTTCTCCCCTGCCCTTTTTTTTTCAGTGTCACTTTCTCATCAGTCCCATGTTGATCTGCTATCTTGACTTCAGTGGTAGGTGAGACCACTGTCTGTAGGTTTTACAGTGTTGCTTTACAGCACTTGGCTAGGATGTGGGTGACTGTAAATAGTGTGGTAGCTCCTCAGGCCAAATTCCTCAGATAGAACTGTCACCTATTTAACAACAACAGTTATAATAGTAATACTTTGTCTTGTTCATTATTGACTGTAGTACTGGAAGGGATACAAACTCTTGTGCTCACATCCTAAATGCAGATACAGGGAGTGCAGTGGAGCCTTGCTGGTAGAGAGTTTTATGCTGTGCATGATGTTGTGTCTCTTTCCTCATCAAACAGCTTTTCTACAACTTTGCATGAGTGGCCTTACTTATTTTTTCTGCTCATGTGTCTTTGTCTGATTTCTTCCTGCCTTCTCTGCAGGGATCTGAACAATGGGGAAAAAGACTTTTTAAACTGAAGCTTTTGCTGATGCTTCACAGTTGCTTGTTACCCCTTTGCAACTGCAGTCACCTCCCCAGGTTTTGTTTGAGTGAGTAATGCATGGCACTGTGGGTCACAGGGCTCTGGATCAGGACCCAGTCTGTCAGGAAGGGATAATTTACACACACACAGCCCCCAGCTCTGTGTCCCTGGGAGCTGAGCTGACTAGCAAGCACCAGCACTTGCTTGGCAGTTTACACTCATCTGTATTCACATATGCTGGATTTAAAGCCCAGCATTCCCATGGACTGGTCAGCCAAAGGCATATCTCAGTGTGCTACAGAACACCCCAGCTTGCTGAAATAGTTTTATTTCTTTTCCCAGGTGTTTCTTTCCTGTAGCAATAAGGTTTCTCAGAGTGCAGACTTATACTGCTAAGACTGTTTTAATTTTTTTCTTTGCAGATGTTTTTGACTAGGTCTGTCATGTTAATAAATACATCTCTTTGAAGTAATGAAGGCATAAGAACTCCACTTTATATTAGGAAAGTTAAATTTGGTAGTTGAAAAGGATTTCTAGTAGTGACAAAAGTACATGCTGGTTCTTTGAGTGATTCTAGTTAGTTACCCAAGTCCTGAATAATACTGCAAAATACCATGGACAACTAAATCAAAAGATCACTAAATATTCAATTGCAGCTTTTGTGGGTTTAGCATACTGTGTTCTCAGTAGCAGAAGAAGGCAGGTGTTTGACACTCAACATTCCTGCACTGAAAAAGAAAAGCATTGGAATTTCTGCTTTGATTTGTTTTTGAAGTAAACATTTGTATAGAAGCTATTCATGAAATGACATCAGTTTTAATTTCTCTTTCTCTAGGTTAGTAAGGAAAACAGAAACAGCATTTTGCAAGACATCTTGGCAGCTGTGGAATCCTGCAGAAAATGAAGACCTTTTTTGTCCTGTAAACACTAAAGCTTTCATTTCAACAAAACATTACAACATTTTGTGGATGGTTTAGAGTCTGTCCTTCCTGGTTTTGCCCCCTTGAGGCTTTACTGGAGCCTTCAGGGTAAGCAGAGTAAAGCTGGTAATACTCTAAAATGGGATGTCAGGATTGTAATGTATTCAGTTCACTGAAATGAAAAAAAATGAACAGATGTGTAGCTAACATCCAGTTCTAATCTGGGAGTTTGGAAGTTAGATGGTCAGCTCAGATCCAAGTTACATGTGAGAACAACTAACTGTAAAATCTGTTTGAGATGTTAGTCTTTCTGAGTGTGTTCAGATCAATTCAATATCTGCACCATAGCCCTGGTGCAACAGAACAGAATCCTGTCCAAATGTAGATGAGCCCTGCCTGGTTATGTAGGAGTGTAGCTGTTGGTGACGCAGCTTAGGTGTATTGAGGTGTGTTTTAGCATGGCTGCTGACAAATCAGCAGGTAGAGGGAATAAGCAGATGTGCTCTCTCCTCCTACCCCTAGGCACCCCTGTCTGCAGTTGCAGTATAAGGAGGGTTTTCCAGAGTTTCAAGGAAATGAGTGCCATTTAAAGAATTCCATTTCAGTAGGAAAAATAGCCAAATCTACCCTCTCTTACATGGTCCAGACACTAATTGATAAGAGGACTGCATTTTGAATTAATTTTCAATTTTCTGGTGGCAGTCTTGTCCCATACCCCATTACAAATAATATATATATAAATGTTCAAGTCCATGAAGTTAATCAAATCTTGTGTTTTTCATGCTGGGTTTGTTAAGTCATGATTGCATTTGTCTGTATTAATTTTACAATCTGTTATGTTTATTGATACTTATGTTTGTTTGGGTTTTTTTGCCTTATTCAATTCTGTACATGGTTAGTGGTGAAATAAGAAGTGTTTGAGAATATTAGACATTGTGTTTCCCTGTGAGGAGTGCAAATGTGTTCAGCAAAACTGCTGCCAGTTATAATCAGTTTTGCATGTTTGAAAACAGAATTCCCTCCCAGGTTCACACTGTTCATTGTAAAATTTATGGTCATCTCTGGCTGAAGAAAGTTGTTAAAAATTCAGTTGTTTCTTAACTTTTTTTCTGTTCAGTTCAATGATTGTTAAAATGAGCAAACTATTTAAAGGTATCTTCAAGAATGATTTTATTGATTTATTTCTGTAAAACTGACACCCAGAGTTGTATAGGGCTGGATGAGGACAGGTATTTTTACACACACCCTGCAAACACCTCCTAGGAGCATAGAGGGAATGTCCTTTATCCTTCCTGTATGCAGAACAAGGGTCTGGTACAAGCATTGCACCTCCACAGGTGGTAGGAAGTGCATGCCATGTTAAAGGATGCCATGGGCTCATTCCCTCACTGCCTTGTTAGGACTACCCATCTGCCCAAATCCATTTAGATGGTAGTACTGTCTTCATCATGTTTGGGGAAAAAGAAGACTCCTCTTAGGGTCTCCACTTGGTAATGTACAGCTCGTCGCTGCTGTTTGCAAAATAAGGTTGTGCTCCAAAGGCACACTAATCCCGTAATTACTGCAGGCATTCTACTCAGACAAAACACCTTTTTAGATATCGAGGACTTGGGGCCAAAGTAAACTTTGTCAGGGCTGTGTGCCAGAGGTTTTTGAACAGAAACCTCTCTGCAGCTAAGTCTTGGATGCCCTCCTGTTTCAATGTTAAGTCTCTTAAGCTGTAAGATATGCTGCAAAAGAATAGTTCTTTCAATGATTAAAGAGTTATCCAAAATCTAGCACAGTTTTAGTGGGACTGCTGTTGAGTCTTAAATGAGGAGCAACCTTTAAAGCTAAATAAAAAACTGAGAGATTTAACATTTCTCTGGTAGAGGCCGAAGAGGGGAGTTCTATTAGGAGTCAGTCTTCTGAATTCTGGTTCAGTCAGTATTGCTGAGAGATCACTTAAAGTGGTGTTTATTCCCCATAAAAGTAGATATATTGCCCTGCATGTAGTGCCATGATGCCTGTTGTAGTCCCATCATTTAGTACAGTGGGAAGAAAAACAACCCCAAACAATTACAACAAGAAGTTAGGAAAACTTTTGATCAGTGCCTATAGTACTTTTAATCCATTGTCTCATGGTTTTGTAGTGACGCTAGATAGTCACTAGAAAATGCAGGTGGATTTTTCCTTCTCTGGAACTCTGAGTAAAATATCAGCCCTTTTAAACTAATGCATATTTTTGCTACTGACATCAGTGTATCTTGTTTTCTGCTACCTATCTCAAGATTGGTGTCATTAATTTGTTGTTCTTTTTTAAGCCTGTTTTCTCTCTGAGCTAGAGTGCTTTTCAAGAGACATAAAGAGAGATTCTGTGATCTGTGTTCAGCAGAATGTAGATGACCTTAACAGTCATGTCTGGCCTTTAAATCTCAGATGGTCCTGAAGATACAATTTGCCTGTTTCAAATAAACATAGAGTGAGTGAAAAAGTTGTATGTAAGTTTTCATGACAACCTGTGTTTACTTTAAAGGTAAAATTTTATTGTCTGGTCTTGGCACTAGTAAAATACTTTGAAGGCCTTGATAGCACTCTAACAGCAAATGGAGCATTCACAATTCCCCTGATGGGCTGATTTTATTAATAGCACACATTTGGTGAAAAGCACCTCTGATGTACCAGCTAGATTCCAGATGACAACATTAGTGCACCTTCAGGTTTTAATTGGTGCAAAAAAGGGGTGAATGTGAGGTACCAATTACTGTCTCAAAGCCTGAGAATCAAGGACGTTTTTGGCACAAGTCTTGTAATTCCAGCATAAAATTGCACACAGCATGGAATAAACAGGGTCTGCATTATTTATCATGCATTAGGCAATTTTCGACTTGTAAAACTGAGTGAGAGAGGTGAATCTTTGATACTGGACCTACTGCAAAGTTAATTATAAGTAATATGTCTGTGTTGCAGATTTAAGGATGTACAAGCACTAGTGAAACATGGTAATTAAGTACCAGCTTCTAATCCAGGGAGCAGTCTAAATATGGCAATAATTGGGTATTTTAAAGAAATGTATTGAAAAGAAGATGATTATCACATGCTGGAGAATCTCACCGGTATTTCTAATCTTCTATAATGAGCTGCACAAAATTCAGCTAATCTTTAACTTAAATTTTCCAGTAAGAGAAGAGCCATCACTTGGTGGGCTGGAGGCAAATGCAGGTGACATTTCTTGCCTTATTCTAATAAGCAGTTTTTATAAAAAGCTGTGAATGGCATCACAGTGTCTAAGAACTTAATAGTGTCAGAATGTCATTCATAGATATTATCTAGTCATCATGTCAAGGGAAAAAGATTCACACTGATAAGTCTTTTTCACTGAGATTTGTTTTCAGTGAAGTGAGTACCAAGACTTGGGAATGGGGTGAGACTTAGCAGCAAGAACTTCAGTTCCTCACAGGGAAGTTGCATGACACTGCAAAATGGAGGGAACAGCCAGCCCAAGGCTGGGGCTCGCCAGTGTTCCTGGTGGATGTGAGCAGTTCAGCACCCTGTGCTTGGCTTTAGTAAAAAGTTACTGAAAGTCTTTTTGCCAGATCTTCAGACTATCTTTCACCATTACGAGTGTAGCAACTGGCTCTTGCTATATGATGTAAACAAGAGTCTGTTTGGGAAATTTTAGGAAAACAAAATGTGAGGAAGGTGAGCATCCCGTGCTTAGTGCAAAGGCTGAAGTACTGTGCTTATGTTTGTTTTACCATATACTCATTATCCTCCCTCCTGTAACCTGTTGTATTGTTCCTGTTCCTCTCTGGTTGCTGAGGCAGTGTGAATAAAATCACTCTTCGTGTTTCCTTTCAGCAGTGATGTTATCTGAGGTTAAGCTGGGGGGAGGCAGAAAAAGCCTCCATCTCTTCATCCCTTCTGACTTGTCTGTGAAAGAACTGCATGTACAAATAGTCTTGTGGATTGAGCACTAGATTTCCTTGAAGGATGCATTCAGCTTGCTAACAAGATGGGAACATCACTATTTTCATGTTGTAGCAACAAAAACATTCTGGACTGGCTGAGTGAGGTAAGTGGCCTCTGCAGCTGTGGAAAAATCACGCATAGCACCTGATGCAAGAAACCCTGATGGAACTCTTGGTAAATGGTCCTTACATGGTGGTAGCAGCATCCTTCCTGCATCACAGCTGTAGCAAGAGATCAGACATGTAGGCAAACTGTTAAGCCTTAGCAACTTTAGGGCCAAGTTGTAACAGTATTCAGCATTGTGAAGCCCATCAGCAGGATCACAGATGACATAAAAGCAATGAAAATTGCATTTGCTTTTAATTTAAAGGCTGAAACCTGCTCCAAAAATGGTGTATTTACATCTTGCAACTCTGAGGCACCTCATGTGTGAGGTTAAGTATCAAGCTGTTTTTCAGGAGTAAAGGTGTCACTCAAAGCCTTCATATGTATGTAGGTGCTGAGCACTCAGGTGCCTTTTGGTGTTATGCAGAGCTGTTTGGAGCAGCTTATTGTTCAAATTAGGCTTTGTGTAAAGGTTAGGTTCCTATTTATTAGCTTGGTGTGCATCAGAGCCCTTAAATGCACCTTCTGTCCCAAGCAGAGTGCACTGGGTGTATCTCTTCCTCATGCAAAAATGGGGGAGTCTAAGATGTGTTTAATCAATGCAACCTCATGCCTACTTGCAGATTTCATTTCTAGCCATTATGTTAGTTTATTCTGTAGGACTGTCTCATATTTAAAACTGATGCATATAGCAGTAGTGTTATTACTATAATAGCAGACTATCTCAAAAAATACGGAGAAAAGTAACATGGGAGAGTTTGTGCTCATTTTGATTCTTTTTTCGTATGTCACACTTGTTATTGGTCTCTTGGGTTTTTTCAACCCACTATGCTACAATAGCAACTTTAGGGCAAAATAAAACCTATGTAAGACATGGCTGCAAAAAAGGAACTGATTTTTGAATCTTACTTTGACATTTTGCCATGCTTGCTTGCTGTGACTCCATAAAGGTGTTAGAACCTACCCTTTCTGGCAGCCACCCTGTGCAGGAGGAGTCTGCATTCATGGCATAACTGCTGTCCCCAAGGAGTTATGCTCCAGGGGACAGTGGGAAGTCAGGAACTGTTATTATTTTAGGATGCAGTACCAGAGGCTGTGGAGATGGTGGAGTCTTGCAGAAGATGTGGTGCTGGGGGAAGGTGCTATCACTGGGCCTCAATCCATGCTAAGCAAATACAGTAGTTGCTGGTGAAAGAATTTATGCAGTCATTCCCCAATCTGGTCTAGTACACTTGAGTTGGATACACAGAATAATTTAGGTTGATTGGGACTACTAGAATTACTTAATTTTGATGGAAATTGATTCAAACTTAAAGATGTGAAAATTGGAGGCTTAAGTGATGCTAGGTGAATATGGGAAAGTTCTTGGTGCTTTTCAGAGCCACCTGTTTGCCCTGCTTCCATGCAGGAAGATAAAGCAGTGATGTTTTATCCTGTGGACTGCAATGCAAAAGCCCCCAAAGCAGAACTGGGACTGGGGGCTGTTAGTAGGAGCCTATCTCTATGACCTCTATCCTTCATTTATAATAAAGCACTTCATGAACAGTGTGGTGGGACAAGAGTCATCATCAGCCAGAATTGGTCAGAAGGGAGCAGCTGAATTCAATTTCCTCTTCCATATCTCACCTGGATGCTAGTGGAGACATTAGTAGGGCCTGAACTGCACTGATGACCATGTGTCTAGAGGGCTGTATATGAATACTGTGCTTTTGTCTTTGTGAACTTGAGCAGGATTTTTCCTAGATTGTGCTAAGCTTTATTAATCAACTCATCAAGATCTGAAGTGAAGTAAAAAAGAATGGGTTTCTTAATTTTGTAAGCAGAAAGCAAGTGAGAACAATTGCAAACAGAAGACCCAGAAACAGCTGCCGCACAAAACATACTTGCATCATTTTATTTTCACTCAGTCTTACTTAGTTCTACTGCTCAGATCTGAAGTGTGGCACAGTAGGAAGCTCAGAATGCAACTGAGTATTGCCTAACAGTAATGAGACTTAGCTACAGCATCTCTTGTTAAATCTTGTTAATTGGGACAAGACAGCCTGGCTGCACATCATTGTGTTGAGATTTAGAAACACTCTATGGTAGTTACAGTAAAGAGGAACAGCAAGACACTGATAGCTGCAATTTTTTTTAATTGAAAAAAACACACGCGTGTTTGTTTAGGCTCTGTAGTAGAGGAAGGATTTGTTTGTAGCCTTTTGGGTTTCGAAGTAGTCATGCATTCCTGTAAATTGCTGTTTCTCAAACCTTGTGAAGGCATGGCCTCCCTTTTTGTATCATCTGTCTTTATTGGCAGCAGCTCAGTTTTCTCTGGGGGAGGGAAATCAGAAGGCTTTGTAATTACTGGCTACAAGTGCTTATGGACAGTGAGCTGTGTCCAGCAATTAAAGGTATTTAGCTGTTCCCTTCCTAACACAAACACTTCCAGACAGTAATTACAGCCTGCTTTGCACTTTGCTGTCCTTGAGGAGGATTCCCCATGGCCCTTTTGTGACTCCTAAGGGTACTGTTGCTTAGAATTTGAGAAACACTGCTGTAAACCAAACAGGAGTACGAGATAATACCTAATTTATGCAAAGCTGCTTTGCAAATAAGGTGCACCATATGCTCTGAAGACTTTCCATGCACTGGATACTTTCTCTTCTTACACTTTTGTTAATTGGTGTAGCGTGGCTCGTTCACACAGTATTTCAGTATGGCTGCATGCAGTATATCAGTCTGAGATGCTGTGTTGCTATTCAGCAGTAGCACCTGCATAACATGTCAAAGAAAAATGAGATTTACTGTTGGAAAAAAGAAATCAGATTTAGCTCTAATGTTACAGGACACTGTACTGTCCTTTTATGTATTCATTGCTTCTGTTCTTAGTTGCCTCTTACTATATGTTATATACCAAATTTCAGTTAGTTTGCATGCAATCAGCTGTTTAGTTATGGCAGGAAAGAGATGTCTTTTGTGTGCTTTTCACTGAGTTGTATTATTCCTACTGTATTCGTTTGTGATTCTAACCATTCCAGGGGAAGGAACATTAAACAGGTTGTAGTCATTGTTCTAGGATTTACAAGAACCTGAGATGAAGTGGCACTGTGTGTTTTTTAGGATATTTTCCAACCCTACCCATGCCAAGGCCATTAGCTGAAGAACATCTGCCCTGTAATATTCTTGTGTGGAAGTTAGAAAAATAAACATTTGAAGGTTGCTTATTACATTGGAAAGAACCTAAACCCATGTGCAGCTTCCTGACCTAACTGTATTTAATGCTAAGAAGTGTGTGGCCCTTGTGCCAGGAGTGCTCCTCACTGCTCCTCAGACAGGCTCTGCTGGGAAGCAGTGTCTTCCAGGGCCATATCTTCTTGGCTGGCCCTCCTGCACTCCACGTTCCGACTCAGGAACAGTGCATGGGCCGGACCCGCCTCCTGCTGGGCTCTTGGCTCTGTAGTATCTGTTGCTTCACAGGTCTCAGTGACTTGCTGGAAAGTAAGAAAGAAAAAGTCAACTAGTTTAGGAAATTTCTAAGTAACACTTCAGCTATTTTTTGAAGTGACGGGTGAAAAAAGTTAAAAAATTGACGTAGGGATGTCATTCTGTGAAACTCCATGGGATTCTTAACATGCATTATTCACAAGGGAGTTCTGAAGAGGTATACTTGTCACACTTTGTGTAACGCATAAATTTGGAAGGAAAAGCAGACCAGGAGCTGGAGGTTTAGTACCACAGATGTACATATATAGAGAACTGTAAAAGAATTTGGATTGAAAAGGACTTCTGGAGGTCATCCAGTCCAAACTGCTGTTTCAAACAGGGCTGACTTCTAAGTTGTTAAATCAGGTTGCTCTGGAGCTTGCTTTATACACCAAATTTTAAATCCAACTTACAAAGAAACCTTTTCATCAAAACTGGAATGCAATTATCAGTCTGCAAACGTTAAGCACAGTGCCACCCCACTGTAAGGAGTCCATTAGGATAAAAGCATTACAGAACTTTGCTGTGTGAATGTTGAAATGAAACGCTTCCTCTTTACTGCTTTCAATCTAACAGGCACCTGGACTCCGAGCAGGCACTTTGGCCAGGATTCACCTCATCTAAATTTCACCATGTGGTCTTGCTGTGTCATTTAGGCTACCAATGGTTGGCAGAGAGATACAAGTCTCCCAGGGGAGAATTTCCTTGTAATAGCTCCAAGGATGAAGTGGATGGAGGCCTCTTCACTGAAAACAGAAGCCTCAACAGCAACCTACTGAGACATCCTGCCCAAATTTTAGCCTAAAGTTTGACAAGGTGAATCCTACCATTAGTACTCAGTATCACAGACTGGCTGAGTTCTTGCAAATTAGGCCATAAACTCCTGAGAGTTGGAATTGTGCCTTCTCATTGCATATATTCAGCTGCAGAAATAGTAATACTTGTTACTGTAAAAATGCAGGATTGGACCCAGGTGAGTAACATTCAGCTGACTCCCATTGAAGTTCATGGTGAAACTCTGGGGAAAACCATACCACACATGGTATTTTTGGGTTGAGAGCAAAATACGCTCAGGCCAAGGAGCTTTTCACACTTGAGGTTGGGAGAACTCTTTGGAAACTAGGGAAGTTATATACAGTTCAGGAGCACAGTAAAAGAAAAGTGCTTGGGACTTATATCTGCAGTTTTCCCCTGTCATCAGTTTGGTTTCCATTTTGATTGCCAAATGCAGAAGTCTGCCTAATTATGTTGTCTAATTGCAGTCACCCTTTATTTCTAGTCCATCTTCTCATATTTCTGCTTTCTGGTGCTGAGGTCA